CTTTTCACAGTTGTCTCAGGCTCATTCCAGGCTGTCTGTGTCCAAGCTCTCTTCTCCAGACCTGAGCTTTGAAAAGAATGGGAGAGAGGCAGGCGAGGAGAGCAGCCTTGAGCTTCATCCCCCGGTTTGGCAGCAGAGCCAGGCTCTGCCTTGGTCCATGGGGGCTACAGTGAGATCTGGCCACAGAGCCCTTCCGCTTCCTCCTCTGCACTACGCCCGCTAGTCACAGGGCTGGGGAAAAGTGTGGGTGTTTGGAGGGGCTGCTCTGCTTCCCATGTATGCACCTTTTAATTTTAGCTTTTGGACCTTTGATCAAACTCTGATTTTTTGGTTTCCTTTTGATAGGATTGTAGTTTTGAGGGGGAGTTAGGAGCTGTGCTGAAACGAGGAGATAAACAAACAGTGACGCAGAGACGGCAGCAGCAGCAGCAGCGTAGGCAATGGGCTGGGCCTGCCTGCCCTCTGGGCGGGCTGGGTGGAGGAGGACTCCCGCCCTGCTCACTGGCCAGCTGGCTTGTGTTAAAGCGCTGGCTGAAAATAACTTTCATTGTCTGGGAGCTGCTACTGCGGCAGGACCGGCTGTGGCCGCCAAGGGGCCGAGGCAGCAGGAGCTGGTACCTCCCACCTCCTTGGGCCCTTGCCCTTTGGGACCAGTGCCCAGCTGGCCACAGCTGTGCCTACTGCCCACCAGTAGGGACACGTGGAGGGCAGACTGGGCCGCTCCTGCCGCTCTGTCCTTTTGTTGGCCGGGGTTGGGCTTTTGTGCCTCCTCACCACATTCCACTTCTGCCCATCTGTACAATGGGCTGATCTGTGAATGCTCAAGAGGACTTAGCGACAGCTGTGGCTGGGGCTCAGCGGCATGTGGTGCCCAGGACAGTGCCTCATTTCATCTCTTGGGCAGTTCTAGGTTCAGCTTCCTAGGGCTCCCCACCCCTGTGGGCTGAGCCTGGGGGCTGGCGCCACCACACTTGGGAGAAGCGTCCAGCCGTAGAGAACTTGGCGAGAGGTAGTTCTGAGAGGGAAAACATTAAGGAAACCACCAGCTCACATTCTGTATTTGCTCAAAATAAACATCCCCCGCCTGCCTTCCCCACAGCCTCCAGAATCCCCTTTGCAGGAAAGTTTCAGACAGCTCGCTCCTTCCCTGTCAAAGGAGCTATGCCATTTTTGCCTCTCTTCCTAAGATTTCTCATGGTTGACTGGGACCAACAGAAACAGCTGGAAATTTTTTGGTGGTTCCTGTTTCTGTGTATTGGGTTTTCCCCACGCCTGGCCCAAGGAGACCAACAAGTCAGGGGTGAGTCCCAAAGCAGAGGCCCACAGCTGAAGGAAACCCCAACCCCACCGGCATTTCCCTCTCTGCAATGGGAAGGAAACGAGGAGGGGCTAACTGGCTGGGGGTGCAGAGCAGGAAAGGGAAGGGAACCTCTGCGACCAGAGCTGCCTCGCTCCTCTCCGGCCTCACTGGGGGGACAGGGTCAGGTGGGAGTAAAGAAGCCTTGCTCCTGCAGAACCCAGGAGGGGGTTGGCCACTGAGCAGGGCTTTCTGCCTGGCCTCAGACTGGCAGTAAACCAGAGTAGCCTTGCTGGAGAAGCATCAGATCCTCCCCTTTCTGCTTCTTCGCGTTACAGGTTTTTATTATTAGACTTCTTGCTGGTTGCATCTGATTTGCTTTCAGTTTGAGTTCACCTTCCTCTTCTTGTCCCATCTTCCTGGGGTCTCCCTGTGCCTCCCCAAGGATGGTGGTATTTCAGTGCCTCCTAGTCTTGGAGGAAACCAGAGAGAGATCAAAGAAGGGGTAAAGGATTGCTTTGTCCTCCAGAGTGCTGAGAAGCAGTTGCTGACGGAGGGACAGAGGCCAAGACGGAGGAGAGACAACCCAGAAGCACGAGGGCGGGTCCTTGGGATGTCACCACATTACACAGGCTTTTCAGGAGAAAGGGGAAGGGAACTGTGTTGAACACCCACAGTGTTCCAGACACATACAGACATAAAACATTTATCATTTAATCCACATAAAACCCTGGGAAGTAGCGAGATTATCTGTGTTGTATGGATGAGCTCACTGAGGTTCAGCAGCTCTGAATAACCCAGAGCTGCTCTTGCACTGACTCCACATTCAGTGCTCTCTGCTCCAAGACAGCTGCGCCTCCTTCCAGTTCAGCAAGAGTCTCAGCAAGAAGCTAGCAAGAACCTAGCCCAGATTCTTCCTTCTGAGAGCCCACAGTCCCTGCGGAACCGCTGAAGGGAAATGTCAAGGAAACAAACTTTTGACTGAGACCGGAACCTCGTCAGGTTTGCTCCCTGGCTGTCCCCGGAACTCAGGAAGTTGTCCTTCCGTAGGGCAGAGTGGCTTCCTCAGGACATTGGAGCCCTGCTGGACTCACGCACGTTATCAGGTGGAGGCAGAAGCCCTGACGCCCTTGTTTAGCAGGGAGAGAACTGCCCCAGCCAGGCTTTGGTCCTGCCCCCATGGCAGGTGGTTCCCACCCCACAGCCAGTGACCGATTTCTTGGGGGCGTGCTGGAGGCTGGGGGAATTCCCCCTCTTCACTTTCTTTCGCATCGCACTCAGACCCAGAGAAGACTGGCATCACAATCCGGAGAGTGCCACCCAGAGCTCTAGGCTGGAAGATGTAGGCCTGTAGCCAGATCTGATTTGTGCTTCTGCCGCCTTTTTCCATACTCGGGGGGACCATTTCTTCTGAGCATCTAAAGTATGACCACATCCCTGATATTCCTCTTCTGTGCTCTCAGGCTAGGGTTCCGAAAGTATCTGAATCTGAAGCTCTGTATCTGAAGCCCCAGAGACACCAAATGATTCCACACCAGTTCACCAGGTGGGGAAGTGCGAGACCACAGCAGCTGGCAGTGGGTGGCTGAGGGAGGAAGTTGGTGTAGACAGGATGTGATGTCTGCCACAGTAACGCTGGACTCCCCCTACTCCCTCCCCAGTGGCTTTCTTCCATGGGAGACAATAGAAAACTATTTTCATGGCACAAACTTGGGAGAAATGGGCAGATGACAGTGATGTGCTTAGGATGTGCTCAGAGCCAGAACCAGGCCTGAGGACTCTTTCTGCTCCCGTCTCACGTGGGTTCACCTGGCAGCAGCCTCGCCCTGGTTAGGTGGGAGACCTTGCTCAGGCCTGCCTTTGACCTCTGGATCCCTTTTTGGTTGTAGCCTCCTGGCCCTGTCCTGCCATCCACACAGACATGTTAAGATTGGCCCTTAGCAAAGTAGTTCCAGAGAGAACATTCAGGGTTGTATTTGTAACCCCCTCACCCGCCCCCCCCATCCATATTACATCTTCAGTTGGGAGGATTAATGCTACCATTTCTAAATGCTGACCAGAGATCCCAACCCTGCTTCCTTTTTGAGCCATAGTGGCCTCATTTCTAGCCAGGAGCTGAGCCCGTAGCTCAGACTGGGACGTCTCAACCATAGGTTTACCAGCAACTTAATCTGCATGAGGTACCTTCAGTTTTAGACATTATTGGGGGTAGAGACCACATGAATAGACAGTCCTTTAGGGACTAGATGAATGTACAGCTGGTTTAGTAGTATGTGTGTAGATAAGTGCATAATAGATACATGTGATAGAAATTATGTTGAAGGGTTTTCTTTCAGTTTCCTGTAAAATGGAGTTCCCACACTCAAGATACTCCTGCTTCTCCTAGAGTTATGCAGGGCCTGTGTGCACACAATTCATGTCCCCAGGGATGAGGATGTCAGGGAGTGAGCAGAGATAAACGAAGTGGTCATGCTTGGGTTACCAGAGAGAGCTGAACTCGGAGCCGGAGCCATCGGTAAAGGAGAGAAAGATGAGAGGAAGGCCCTCCAGGTGGCCTGCAGTGTGCTGGGGAAGAGGCTGGATTTGTGGGAAGTCATGCGGGTTATCAGAGAGCTATGATACTTCAGCTAGGAGATCGTATTTGATTCAGGAGTAATGGGGGCGGGGTGAGACGGGCAGGTACAGTGATCTGCCTTTAGAGGCAAGGGATGTGACCTGCGACATAGGTAGCCAGACTGGTCAGCAGAGAGGGTTGGCTGGATGGGGAGAACGGCTGCTGGCCTGTGTGTGGCCAGGTTGTGGATGCTTTGGGCTTCACTCACTCACTCACCTACACTTTTATTCATTTATTCAGCATTGAACAAAATATAATGGTCCCTGGTCTGTCCTTCTATATACGAGGTTAGAGTGTCTCAACTAGGGGTCAGAACACTTTACTGTGTCTTAATTGGGAGGGGTGTGTGCGTGTGTGTGTGCGTGCGTGTGTGTGTGTGTGTGTGTGTGTGTGTGAGATAAGTAACTTGCTACTAATAATTGAAGTACTAAAGTCTTGTAAGTTATTTCCTAAAAATATTCTGAGCAGTTATCTTTATGCTAATGTCCTTCTCATTCACTTGTATCCTGATAGGGGACATAGGGGTGGAGTTGTAGCACCTACACAGGCTCTGAGCGGTTCGGGATTCGCTCATGGGTGTGCATGGTGCAGGAAGGCCACTCATCTCTCAGGCCATGGGGAAAAAGCAGGTCGAAAGTTTCTGCTTTAAACTGGTGGCTTTCAAACTTCTTTGACCTGTCCGATGAGAAGAAACACGTTTTCCAATGACCTGTGTGTGTGCATGTATATATGTAGACGTGGATACATAAACTTAATAAAATAAACAAAAGCTTTTTTTCTTCTTTTATCCTTTCTACTTGCAATGAATTCTGGTATCTTCTTTTCTATTTCAATCTATTCATTTTTATTTAAAGTAAAGATAATCTTGACTCAGTAAGGTGATTCCATGATGTATGGTTTGGAAAAACATTTGTTCAACCAAACTGAACTAAATATGAGGGGGAGGTGGGCGGTCTGCCCCGCCACTCTGAGCCTCCTTTATCAGTGGAAGGTCCAGGAAGGGAAAGGTGTGCGTAGTCTCGCTGTTCTCTCCTCCAGGTGTGTGTGTGTGGGGGCATTCAGTCCCACTGACTCGGGTTCTCTCCTCAGAGCTCCATGAACCTGCCTCCTGACAAGGCCCGGCTTCTGCGGCAGTATGACAATGAAAAGAAGTGGGACCTGATCTGTGACCAGGTAAGGGGTTAGGGGCAGGGCTGGGAGGCGGGGCTTGCGTCTTGGGCTAGACAAGGCAACAGGGCCACAGGCTGTAGCCCTTGAAGAAGTTTGGCCTGGAATTGGCCTCAGTCCACGCTCACTTCCTGTGCCAAGAGGACTCCTCACAGAGACAGGCTGGTAGGCTGAGTTCCCCTCTAGCTCCCGCATAGAGCTGTCTTGATTTCTTCCCAATGGGCAGTGGCTAGAAGGAGGTTTGTATAGGTCTGGGGTGTAGGGTCGGCTATGGAGGAGTTTGTAGTTTCCCAGCAGAGCCCGCTTCTTCTGCCTTTCCCCAGGGTGAGGGCTGCGCCAAGCAGGATAGTAACCCAAAGGACTGTGTCTCTCTCACTCTGCCCCAGACGTGGCAAGTAGCAGGATTGTTCTCATGATTTACAGGCCTTTATGAATGAGAAGCCCCCATCCCCTAGTCTCCTGTCCCCAGGTCTCAGAACATGATGATTGGAAGCTCTCTCTACATGAATAGTGATTAGAGCTGGAAGAGAATATAGAGATTATTACTTAGCTCAGAGCCAAGAACTAACACCTACCACCCGGCCTTTTCCTCTGCAGACATTTCAAGGTCAAAGTTATGAGTCTGTGAACTCAGGCCTGCCTCCTGGGCTAGGAGCATTGGCTTCTAATGCCTTGCCTGGCACAATGCAGGTAGTGTTTGCCCAGCATTTTGCCACAGGGCCTTGCATGAACCACTTTATTATTTTTTTTCAAGCACTGAACAAAATCGTAATAGCTAACTTTTATTGAGTGCTTATTATGGACCAAGCACTTTACATATACTTAACATTTCTCATTTAATCCTCATAGAAACCCTGTGAGGAAGGCACTATTATATTTTATACATGAAGAACTCTGATAGGTGATGGAGCCAAGGCTGAGACAGCCGACTCTGTCCGTGCTAACCATTAGGCTCCTCTGCCTTCCAAGTCATGCTGCTTGACCTAAGGTAGGACTATGCCTCAGAGAGCCTAGCCCAGGTCCCCACCTCTCCAGCAAAGGCCCGTTTCCTTATATTCTGCATTAAGGGGAGTTGGTGAGCATGGTGAACCTGGGCTTGAGATTTGAAGAACAGCAGCCCTTTGGTACTGAGTTTCTTTAATTGATAATCTCTCAGTCTTTTCTAGGTCACATCACTTCAGCTCATTCTCAAACCGTTTTTTCTTTCATTTTGTTTTTAGGTCCTATTTCCTATCTCCTGGGCCCTTTCCAGCCCCTCCCCCCCCCCCCCCCAACTTTTCAGATGTCTCAGTTGTGAATGCCTATATAGGACCAGAATGCCTAAGAGCTTTCCCTGAGTTTCCCCTTGAGCTAGATGAAGGGGTTGGGCCAAAATGGGGAGGGCATGGTCCTGTGCCCTGTGTGGCAGGAGATTGAGGGATGACCTTGCTGGAAGCAGGCTTTAGCATTGAGGTTGCTTTGGATGTTGGGATCTGGGGCCTGGGCAAGGAGTGGAAACTGTGTTTGCAGCCCTGAGCTGTGTTAATGCTGCAAAACCAGTCCAGTCCCAACTTCTGGGTTCAGAGCTGAGAAAGTTGGACTCGACAAGGATTGGCTCTCCTTCCCTTGGTTGGCCAGGCAGTGAACAACATTTCCCAACCGTATCTTTATTTTGGGTGCTGTTCACAGCTCTGTGAACTCTGCATATTTGCGGCAAGCAGCAGGCTCTTAAATAATTTTGACATAGAAAAATCTTCTAAGCTCAGGGAGCACTAATCAGAGGAGGGGAAGATGGTAACCGCGGGGAAGCACCTGAGGATACGTCCAGGAAGGGAATCTACTACAGTTAAGGGCCATCTCAAGGCCAGGTTACAACTTGACGAGGCTGGGTCCCCTCATGTTGAACACAGTGAGTGTTCTACCTGCTCAGCACTCTCCTCAGGCCTCCAGGTATCTGTGTGCACATGTGTGTTTTCCTTACAGGAACGATTCCAGGTGAAGAACCCTCCCCACACTTATATCCAGAAACTCCAGAGCTTCTTGGACCCCAGCGTAACTCGGAAGGTGAAGTGAGGCAGGAAGGCCCTGTCTTGCTGCCCTTTGTAGTCATGTGGGGTTTGGGGGCAAACCCTTTGACTTGGGGTGGGTCACATGCTTCTGAGCAGTAGGAGTTGGGTTTCTGGGTTCTGAGTCCATGGGCCTGGAGTGGCTGGCCGTTGATAGAAGGAAGGGCCTATACCTGCCCTCTTGTATCCCTTCCTTTTCCTTTTCCGCTCCTTTTGTTTGTAATGAAGTTGGATTAGGGGGCCTCCGTCAGTGACAGAAAATTCCATGTTTACAGAAGTTCAGGAGGAGAGTGCAGGAGTCAACCAAAGTACTGAGGGAGCTGGAGATCTCGCTTCGTACCAACCACATTGGGTGAGTCAGGTTTGGCCATCAGAGCCTCTTCACCTGGTCACTCGGGATTTGGTGTCCTGTTTACCTGAGGATGGTCTGCCTGTTTATCTCCCTGCCAGGGGGCAGAGTTGCCCCTTGAATGGCTTTGGTTCCCAAGCACTTCAGACTGTTCCTTTCCTGGCTTTTCTCCCGCATAGCTCTGCCAGCTGCTGACAAGCTTGGGGCCTCTCCTGGGGTCCTCAGCCTGTGGCTTTGAGTAGAAGACATTCCCACAGCAGCTGAGACTGGAGTCTGCCTGTGGCCTGGGGCTGGGCCAAGGAAGGCCCAGAGAAGGCAGGAGATCGGGGAGCACGTTGCATTGGGTAGCGAGACCTAGTTTCCGGACTGTTTGGTGCCCAAAAGATTATTTGCTCGATTTTGAGACAGTCTTTAAATGGCCACAAGTTTCTCGAAGGACCAGGAAAATAGATCGAAGGCAGTGGGGCCAGGAGTTGAATGTCTTCTGTATTAACGGACCCTGGCACTGCCAACCCATTGACAAGGCCCCTAGGAACTGTGTGAGTCTTTTTTTTTTTTTTAGTTTCTGGTGGGGAGCCAGACTTGCTGAACAGCAGAGGGCTAATACATGAGGTACAGTGAATGATGGCAATGGTCTCAGTTTTATAAAACCAAAACCAGCCACAATATATATAGTGAAAGTGGGAGAGAGCGAGAAAGAGAGAACGAGAACATGTACACAGAGGACAGTGAGGGCCACCTGATGGAGAACTGCAGGCAGGGCTACGATCTTGACCAAGGGGCCTGGTACAAATGTTGAGAGCTTACATGAGTGAAAAGTCCAGCCAGGTCTAGAGGTGGGGGCCGCTGGGCACGTGCCAGCCCCAGGGTCCTGGGCTTCCTGAGAGCAGGGATAGAAAGAGCCAAATGACATCAAGTGCCTTCCCCTCTTGTCTGTGGCAGCCGCCCACTTGTCCACACCCAGGCTGAGCCCACTGGGGCTCTGGTAGGGGCTACCTGTACATAGCCAGCTGCTACAGCGGTCACAGGGGAAACGGCACAGGAAAGAACAGGAAAGGGATAGTTCCTGGCCTCGGTAGTTGTGCTCGCTGGCCAGAGTTGGCTTCCACAACCCATCTATGAACCAGGCATTGAAAGCTGACCCACTAGGAAACGTGTAATGAAGCCTCCACCTTTGTTTGGTGACTCCTCAGAGAAAGAAAAACTGGAAGGGCCTCTTCGGCTATCATGTACGTGAGGGCAAGAGTGACACAGATGGCAGCTCAGAACACCACCTACCACCCTGCACTCCTCCACAAGGCCTTTCCCTCCCTCCCTCCTGTCTTCCTTATTACGTCTTGCTGCATGATGATGGGGGTTTGCTTTTCTCTGGAGACTGCCACAGAACAGTGTGCGACAGTCCCTTCTGCCCTCCCCTTCTACCTGGTGCCTGCCCTTTTGGCCACTGGCCAGGAGCTGCGGCCAGAGCAGCATGGTTCCCAGGCCTGGGGCCTCTCGGCAGTTGGCATACAAGTTAGAGGTCTGGACCTCGTCCTTGGTTCCCAGGGAATAGCTTAGTGTCTAGCATTTTAGGCTCTCCTGTCATCTGAACTGTGGCTTCTCCAGGCAGTCATACAGGAGGGCCAGATCCTTCCGGGATTTGGGAGCAGGATAAGTTTGGCAGGCTGTCCAGCTAGGGCGTGGGTGCTCCTGGGCGGTAGGAATCCAGGGCAAGGTAGGGAGAGGAGGATCCTGCTTCTGCCATAGCCTGATGGGCCCAGGGCCTGTGGCAGCAGTGTGTGCAGGGGCAGCCCAAGGGGAACTCAGACCCTGGAGCAGGGAGTGCTGGGAAGTGGGATTCCAGAATCTCTGCAACTTCTCCTCTCCCTGCTTTGTATTGGTTTCTCAGCCTTGCCTAAGTGCCCTTTAACCTCTCCTCAAAGTGTCAAGATCCCGAAAATAGCAGTGTAGACTCAGACAGGAAATGAGAAGGGGGTGGGGAGCTGGAGAGCAGACAGACAGGAAACGGGAGGCCTGTTGGCCCCCAGAGAGGAAGCTAACTTCAGGCAGCTCCAGTGTCAGTCAGCCTCAGCCAGAGCCTGCTGCCAGATCTCAGCCGGGCCTGGTGCTCCGGGCCTGGTGTTCTGGCCCAGCCGCGCTGGAGCTCGGGGTGTGGCCAGCAAACATGGCGCTGGTGTTCCAGCTGTGAGGGTGAAATGGCTCTGCAGGGCTGTTGGGCACAGCTGGCCTATCAAGACCCCCAGACATTCCTAGGGAACAGAGCACTCAGAAGTCAGGGTTTCATCCTGAGAGCTTTGTGTCACTTTGTGCTGTGCTATATAACCTGTCTTATAACAGCCCTTCTGGGACGCACTCTTCACTTCCCTTCCAGGGATATCTCAGCCCAAAAGGCCTGAAGGCAGAATGGGGGAACTGCTCTGGTCTGCAGTCACTTTAATGGAGTCCTGCTGTCTACCCTCTTGCCTCCCTGGCTGAACGGGCCCAGCTCCTCAGTGTGTCTCTGAGTGATCACAGCCATTCCGGAGTTACTTGAGTCCCTGACTGTTCCCCCATCCTTTTCCCATTCCGCCAAACACAGAACTCCCACATATTCCTCTTTGTTCACTACTTTCCCAAATACCTTTCCTTGAACTTGGTGGAGAACTCTTAGTCTCCATATGCCCCTGTTCCAGAGCTCTCTTTGACCCTTCCTGCCTGTCTTTTCACTGAGACTTTGGTCCAACTGGGGACCCGATGGTCTCTGTCAGGCACAGCTCTGCACAAGGGCTGCAGTAAATGCTGTTGATAACCCCCCAATTCTTCCAACAAACATTGTGCAAAGACAGTATACCCAGCCCTGTGCTAGACACCAGGGACACAGAAAGTGATTGAGGCAGGGTCCTGGTCCTTGAGGAGGGGCCTCCTGAACGCCTGTTTGCCTGACGTGGTATTGGAAAGCCTGTACTTGCCCCACCCCTGGCTCCCTGGCCCAGGGGAGGTCCAGGCCAGTGACACAGCCTTGGGTGTGTCTGGCATGGGTTTTGATCTTCTGAATGTTCCCAGCCCGATATTAAGTTTCGGGGGATCCAGGAGGGGGTGTTGTTGGATCAGAGGCCGTTCCCCCTCGCCCCAGGTTAGCAGACCCCTCCACTATGTTTTCTTTATCTGCAGGTGGGTGCGGGAGTTTCTGAATGATGAAAACAAAGGCCTGGATGTGTTGGTGGATTACCTGTCCTTTGCCCAATGTTCCGTCATGTGAGTACCACCCTAAGACTGGGGTTGGGGACCAGTGAGGGAGGACAGAGGACACAGTCCCATTCTGATTTAATGAGAAAGGTGAGATTACAATAGTGAAGATGGGAACGGGGATCCTAGGCCAGAAGGGAGCAGCCAATACAGCAGTGAGGGCGAGGATGAGCAGCCAAGTAAAGAATGCCAGGTGGCTGGAGTAGAAGGTGTGTTTTAAAGGGGGGCAGGAGGAGAGAGATGTGGGAAGGGAGCTCAGAACCGGAACCCACAGGATCCAGACTCCAGGCTGGGATCAGTCCAAGGAAATGTCCTGGCTTCTGAGAGGGATGCCCTGGTGGGGTTCATTCATTTGCTTTTCGAGAGCAGAGTCTTTAAGAAGCTCTTTTGGGTCGCCAGTTGTGAGAGGGTTACTCCAGATCACCCCAGACTGAAAATGAAGGATTCAGGAACCTTTTTCAAGCAGGTTGGGGGCTTGGAGGCAGCCAGAACTGAATTAGCACAGATGAGAAGGCAGCGTGGGGCAGTGGAAGGAATGAGGGGCCTTTGAGTAAGACAGATACGGTTGTGGGTCTCCATCGTTTACCACCTGTGTGACCTCAGACAAGTATGCGTCCTCTTATATTAGAGGGGGTCCACAGTCCAGGGCTGTTGTAAGGGTTAGATGATAGACGATAATGTGTATAAAGCACTTCACAGTATTTGGAACATGGTCGATAGTGTCGCAGCCACTTTATTTGTTAATTGTTAATATTTAAGGTGGTGTGCCCTACCATAATCACCCGAATATATGGAAAGAGGGATCACAGTGATCATTCACCGGAGGACCAACACATTCAGGCTTATACCCAAGATTTAAGGGTGACCAGTAGGCCCGGTTTGCCTCTGACTTTCCCCGGTTTAAGCTCTGAAAGTCCCCTGTCCTGGGGGAATTCCTCACTCTGGGGACTCTGCCCTAGCCTCCACTTTCACTTTTCTTGTTACTGTCTTTGTCCCCTTGGGTGTTCTCCTTTGTCTGTCCAGCCAGTCTTCAGTCACATCTCCTTAGGGTTTCAAACTACTGCCTCTCCTAGGTTTGGCCTCTCTGTCACCTTTTCCAGGTCACCCGCTGTTAAAACCCAGAGCAGTCCACTTCCCTTTCCCATCCTGCAGCAGCCATGCATCGTGACCCTCTATCCCTTTAAAAACCACTCTTTTTATAGAAAGAAATGAAAAACATTTGCTGAAGTGATTTTTTTTTAAAATCAGAGCTTTTATAGTAAAAAGATGTAGATTATTTTTCCAAATAAGCCTATCTTGCTTGAAAAGCAAACAAACCCCAGTTGCTCTAAACCAGAGACACTGGGACCTCAGGATTGTAGTGTCCATAGCAGTGCCTCTGACTCTGTTTTTAAAAGGGAGACTCGGGTCTGGTGTGGGGAGATGGAGGAGAGTGTAAACTGCACGTGCCAGTGTAGGGAATGCTGTTAGTGATGGGGAAAGCCACTGGCAAGCTGTTTCTCTGTCAGCGAGACTCCTCTACTCGAGAGCCCCACGAAACATCTCCTGACCATCCGGACTCTGAGCCACTCCTGCTTCCTTTGGAACATTCAGGCATCTGCAGATGTCGCTTTCGATTTCAGAAAACCTCGGCCTCTGTGCCTATGATCCCAGGGCTGTGCATGGCTGAGCAGAAGGCTCTTTGGGGAAGAGCCTGTAGGAGATACTCGCTCAGTCCTTAGTGACCTGCGGGAGGCAGGGTGCGGAGGACAGGAAAGAGGGTGGGCGGGCCTCCTTCTCAGAGCAGGTATATCCTGATGTGGGGATATGTAAGGGAGAAGGCCTCGTGGGTCTGTGACCTTGAGCTGTCCGCCTCGCCCTCCCCAACTGCTGATGGTGGGAAACATCTGGTCCCAGAAGCAGGAAGTGATAGAGAAACCCAACTCCTGTAGGGACTAACGACTGAGTTCACACCTTAGACATAAGATTTCTTCCCCCAGGGAAGCTGAGGCCCATGGAGCCTTTATACTAGAAAAACCTATTATAGAAGCCTCACGTAGAACCACAGAAACCCCTGTCATTCAAACCCAGTATGGGAACCATGGTTTCCTCCTAAACATAGAAGACTTTCCCTCCCTGGACTTGCCAGGACCCCTATTCCTTTCTATTCTGACCTGCCTTTATGAGCCCAATCCAGAACCAGCTGGACTCCCTCAGGACCTGTAGAGGCTCCTTTGGCCACTGCCACTTGACACTAGCAAGACCCTCAGTTGGCCTGTTCCCCACCACCCCTCAGTAGGGCCGATTCTCTATGGGGAGCCACAGCTTCTCTGAGATGTCCCATCTGAGGCTAGGAGTGCAGAAAGTCTGCCAGCTCCCCCTTGGGTCCATGGGGTGGTCATTTGTCCTGGAGTTGCTTGGCCAGATGGGAGCAGCGTCTAGCCTCCGTCAGCATCCCCATCCCCATCCCCTCAGACCCCCTCCTGATTGCTGCCTGTGCCTGCTCTGCCCTTGTCCTGTGTTGGTGGCTCTCCTGACCAGGGTTGGGTCTCTGCTGCCCAATTCCACCTTCTCTTCTGGCTACCCTTGCTTCTTGTTGCCCTAGAAGTCTACAGGGCAGGGAAGGGCTCGCCAGGGGGCTTGGCACTGAATTTCTCCTGTGTGTGCGCATGTGTGTCCTTTCCTGCTCCAGGTTTGACTTTGAGGGTCTGGAGAGTGGTGACGATGGTGCATTTGACAAGCTCCGGTCCTGGAGCAGGTCCATCGAGGACCTGCAGCCACCCAGCGCCCTGTCAGCCCCCTTCACCAACAGCCTCGCTCGCTCTGCGCGCCAGTCTGTGCTCCGGTATGTGTGCTCTCGCTCTGCCCGCCTGCCTCCCCCAGCCCCTGTTCAGGTCCTGGGTAACAGCGGTGAGTGCTCACGCTCCTCCCTCCACTCTTGCTTCCAGGCTCAGCTCTCTTGCCCTCTGCCTGCCAGTCTGTCTCTGGTCTGTCCTCTCTGTCTCCTTGACTCTGCCCAGCGATCTGTCCTGGGTAAGTACATCGCCCTCGGCTGTGCCCACCCCATCTGGGGTTCCAGCTCTCCCCATTCTCACTCCCTCTCTGGGGGCCCCTCCATTCCTCATTCTCACTCTGCCATCCCTCCCAGCCTCTCAGGCAGGGCTTGTCCTCACCCAGCTCCCTCACCTTCACCGGGGGGGCTCCAGCTCCAGCCCTCATGTCTGTTTCCCTCTGGCTCTGCACTCTGTTCCATCAGCTGCTCGGAGACCAGCTGCAACCCATCCTGCCCACTGCTCACCTTCCCTTCACCTCTTCCTTTAGGCCTTTACTCTCCAAAGTCGCAAGGTGTCCGTTTGTCTGCAATATCTTAAGAACTGTCCTGCCCGGAGGCAGGTGGATGGACCGAGCTCCTCCTACTCAGGGAGGCTTTCCTTTGGGTCCTGTGGCCCTTACGTGGTCGGTCTCTCTCTCTCTCTCTCTCTCTCTCTCTCTCTCTCTCTCTCTCTCTCTCTCTGCGCCATGCTTTTTTCCTGGTCTCCTTTGGGTTTTGACCTCTGACACTGCTCATCATTCTAGTCATGCATAAGCAGATACCATTTGTGCTTCCTCTTTTTTTCATGAAACATCATTGAGGGGGGTTGCAAAGTCAGATGTAGCCCCCAGTGCTCCTAAAGCCTTTGGGGTCTGTGCTGCCTTTTCTGGGACATAGAAGTGGGTTGGGAGCCAAGGGATCCTGCCCCACAGAATGTGTGGAAGATTCAGCAACTGGAAGAGGCGGGAAGGTTCAGATGAGCGTCTCCCTGGACCCACCTTGAGGACTAGAAAGATCTACACACCTGCTATTGTATTTTGGAGGACTGCTGGGCTTGGATAGTTTGGGCACAGATTATAAAGCTGTGATCCTGGGTAGTTACCGACAAAGGCCTGTTGCAGGGAGGTGAAACAGCTAATGCCCTGCCCTCTGCACCCTCTCCTCTCTGAGCTGTTGGTGCAAGGTCCTCTTCCCCCCTTTTCTGCTGCTGCTGGGGCAGCCTGCTGTCTGGGTGATGGTGAGCACTCCTAGACCCTTCGCCAACAGCCACCTCTCCCCCAGGTATAGCACGCTCCCTGGGCGCAGGGCTCTGAAGAACTCCCGTCTGGTGAGCCAGAAGGATGATGTCCACGTCTGCATCCTTTGTCTCAGAGCCATCATGAACTATCAGGTAAGGAGGCAGCACCAGCCACGGGTGCTCAGCCTCTTCTGCCTCCTCTGCCAGAGCAGGAGAGCTTTAAAAGACAGGTTTGCTGGTGGGTCTACAGGCAGGGAGTCAAGGATCTGCCTTCCCCACCATCAACGTCTCCCTTCCTCTGTCTTTCCCCCTTGCTACAGTACGGATTCAACCTGGTCATGTCCCACCCCCATGCTGTCAACGAGATTGCTCTCAGTCTCAACAATAAGAACCCAAGGTGAGTTCCTTCCCTCTCTTTCCTCCCTGCTCTGCCCAGGGCTCTGGAGATCTGGGCTCCACTTGCCCCTGACAAGAAGTCCTGCTTGGCCTTGGGGTGCTGTGGCCTGGGTTGGTGCCCTGGCTCGGTTGCCTCACCTCTGTTGAAGGAGAAGCGGTGTCCCTGGCTTCCCTCTGGTCGGCACAGCTTAGTGAGGGAGCAAGCCTGCCTTCCCCTGTCTTCCTTCCCAAACCCAGCCTCTCCCCTCACCACTGAGGCTGTCTCCACTCTCTGAAAGGACTCACCCAGCTGTGGACGTGAGCTGTGTGGAGCTAGGGTGTTCATCTTCCTTCTCCTTCCTTCTTCTCCCTTCAGGACCAAAGCCCTTGTCTTAGAGCTCCTGGCAGCTGTGTGTTTGGTGCGGGGTGGTCATGAAATCATTCTTGCTGCCTTTGACAATTTCA